CTCTTCTCCACACAACGAGAGGTGAGCCAATGAAATCCGCTTCGTGTGGACTAACCTGTGTCTCATTATTTGTAGATTTCATTTGTGCATTTATTACATAGACCATAGTAGTTCCAAAACCTTTCCTAGCGCAGCGCCCTTTTTCAATTAAAATTTTTACATGGCGCCCTACACTTTCATACGAAATGCAAGACTCTACAAAAATTAACACCAAAATCATACTCAATTTCGTATAGATTAATTTAGTCGGTTTATTTAAATTCAGAAAATATAAGTGTACTCTTGTGTGTGTGTGTGTGTGTGTGTGTATTGAAGTCAATACGGAATACCCGTCATAAATCAGAGTTTTCAAAAGGTCAAAGTTAGGTTCTGATCATCAAGGCCTAATGACCTCAAAGTAGGCCCTGACCGACACTGCGTAAGTCCGCCAGTAAGTATGGTTGAGATAATGAGATGCGAGCTTGTAAGCGTGTAAGTCAAGTTACGAAACCACTTGTCCTAACCTCTCGGTCTAGGGTCATTAACGCTTAACCCTCCAAGGAAAGGCAAGACTGGGGCTGCGTAATTTAGTACGTCTGGTTTGGTTGATGAGCTTAATCTACCATGTTGGACGAATTTGAGTGAAGTTAGAACCATCAACGAGCAGACAAGTTGAGTCGCCTTCTTTTTGACGGCGGCTCAACAACCTCTCTCTCTCTCTCTCTCTCTCTTTCAATCTATCAACCAAGCATAAATACTTCCTACTCATCTTCCTACCAACCTTCCTCACATTTAACGTATTGCTTAATCTACACATTTCTGGTGAGATCAACCTACAAATCTCTTCTTCTTCATGACCTTCCATTCGAAATAAGAGTCGCTCAACAACGTTGTCGCAGGAGATGCATCGAAACCAAATTACTCTTCGTATCCACAACCGGACCGTTGACTTGGTACATTCTCCAACTGTTCTGCGATGGGGTTCTCGGCCTCGTCAATGAGCCACGCCCCGCTTCGGCCATAGTTACAACTCGTCAAAGTGCCACGTCGAGGCAATCTCGGGCCAAGTTACGCAAACGAGGCGATACCAACAATGGCCACATCATTTTGGTCGTCATGTCTACGAAGGTGGGTTTCATTTCGCATGAAAAGGCGGCCGCAAGGCACCCGCAAACTGGCCGACCGGACAGCGAAAGAGGATTGGCGACCCCGAGCCGTCTGTACCGTCTTCGGGTGCGTCATGTGGCCGACGTGTTGACAACAATAATCACCCAAAAAGCGTCAACCAAGAAAGACGGCCCGTTGCAGTCTTGCAACGCGAGTCCGCCGATCCGAGATGAGCTCAGATCACGTCCGAGGGCTGGCGCGAAAGCGCGACGACATCACGTACCGAATGTACCGAATCTACGTGTCCGTGTGTGCGTGTGTGTATGTGTGCGTGTGTATGTCATGGCAACCGACTCGGCTCGGCCCTCGAGGCAGCCGAGTCTGCAGCGGCCGAGCCTTGAGCGGGATCAGAGCGGCCCAATCGCCACATGATTGTGAAGAAATCAGTCTCTCTCTCTATCTATCTCTCTCTCTCTCTGTGGAGGTCTGTTTCGCTCACTCCTCCTCAGTCCGGCCATCTCAACGCATTGTCTGTCTGTCCGTCTTGATGATGTCTACCCAAACGGGTTGGC